GATATAAATGGGTTACTTACCAAAATGCCTTCGTTGCTCTTGCGTACAAGTAGTTATTCTACAAAATCATTGTGTTATAATGTATTGCGATTTGTATATAATAATTCTAGATCGAGAGATATTCTGTGTATTAAAAACTATTTCTTGCAACAAAAAGAAACCGACACAAACATCACGTTGTAATAGATATAAACTAGACCGTTGTTGATTGTTTCGTTTAATTGATTAAAACTTTGTCAAAATTAAATGGCTATGATTTTTCAGATGTCTTTCAAGATTCTTTTAATCATCGTTTTCAGTGAGTGTCATTTTTATATGTAAAGAGCTTTGATGAGATGAATATTTGTTTCAGTTTTTGCCTCTACAGAAGGCTTGATCTGCAATGAATGCACCTATCAGCCTTCCTATTTATGTAACTCATTATCACAGCCCACTGCCGATGTCTGCATGGTATGTATATCTGCTCTAGTAACTCATCGTAACTAAGGATATATTGAGTGACATTTCAGACTCCTACAACTTATTGCACTTCATTCGTTAACAATGCTTCTGTTACTATGTTGATGAAAGGTATGACGGATCTTTGCGGTTATAGTAATTCGTACATAGACACTATACAAGGTATACAGTACATCTGCTGATCGACCTACAGTTGTTGTTATTCTAATAGATGCAACGTATGTCCAAGCGGTGGATGCATAATAGGAATCAACAGTATATTTTCAGGTGGAAATTTTGGTCCAGAAAACGTGCTCTTTTCAAGCTATACATCTGGCGCATATAAGAGATCTACTACAATCGCCATGACATCATTTCTCTGTTTTCTGTGTGTGTTTCTATCGCAATTATTTGACTTGAAGTGACAACAAACTTTGTCTACATGAACATTTTTCGTCAATATTATTCAGTTTTCGCCATATTTTTTCTTATACTTTCATACTAACTTATCTATCTTGATCTAACAAAAGTAGAAAAAATATATTCTAAATTTCTTGTTTAAAGTGCAGTATGTAAGACACATAAAATCGCTAAAACTACCCATAATCACAACCAATGCCATATATTAGAAAGCGTTTCCGATTATAGTAACGGTTTCTTGCAATGAAAACTTCATTTTCTATTGAGGGTCTGCAGATGATCAACAGAGGCGTCTACACGGCATGTTGTTCATCCTGCCTTGTCCTGTAGAATAAATGAAGATTTTAATATTTATATCTCAACTAAGGCGTGGAATTTCTTGTTGATTGATTATTTTAAATACGAAAGTTTTTTTTCTTTGTACAAGTCACTGTCATTGGTTGAATGTATTGGGTTGGCAACAAAGTTTTTGCGTTTTTTAAAAAAAAATTCATTTTATTTTCTAACTACAAAAATACAACTAAGTTCCAATAATATATGCTCCATTACTATCTATGACTTGTCGCCAACGCTTTGGAAGAGAAAGGATCCGGCGTTCGTAGAACTCCTGGGACTTTCAGCGGAAGAAGCTGTTGAAGTCCATTTTAAGGTCGTTTTCGTCATCGAATTTTTTCTCATGCAAATGATTGACAAGAGAACGGAACAAATGGTAATCAGAAGGAGCTAAGTCTGGAGAATACGGTGGATGTGGAAGCGTAGTCCATCCAAGCTCCAATACTTTTTCACGCGTTGACTTTGCCATGTGAGGTCTGGCGTTTGTCATGTAAAACATAAACCTTATCCTACTTTTCCTGAAGTTTTATTGCGACTCGATCAATTGTTGGCAGTAGAGATCAGCAGTGACAGTGCTACCAATTGGAAGATGTTCCCAATGAATTACACCTCTTATGGCCCACTAAACACGCTCAATATAACCATCATCGGATGAAGTTCATCTTTTGGCGTTGGTATACCTCTTTCTCCAACTCCCAGCCATTGTCGCTTGCGCGTGTGATTGATATACATCATCCACTTTTCATCGCCAGTAATAAGATTGTGGTGTGGGTGTGTGGACGTGAATGAAGGTCTTCTCTCTAACCACACCCACACCCTGATCATTTTTTTTCGATCAGAGAAAATCTGTTTTTAGAAAACAATCGAATAAGATCCGAATTCAAGTAATGACGTACTCAGATTCTTTTTAATTCTGATGAAGTCTTCCAACCTCTGATCAGATCCTACAATAAATTCGATCCACGCAAGAATAAATCTTTCAGTTATTTTCTTGCAACAATATCCCATGAGTACTTTGGTAACTCCTTTTACGCATATTACTTTCTGAATATTCGACTGTTTATGCTTGGCAACTTCAAATTATCACGATTTCTTTCATTACTATTCGAATCATTTTCATGATATTGTAGTTCATAGGTTATAACAAAATATTCAGAACGTTAAGATTTTTCTCTAACTTTATTTTCATACTCGTCTCATTTTGTTAATAATACGAGTTTGTTTACTACTAGTACTAATCTCAACAGAGAATGAAAAAGTATTATTAATTTACTTGGTTTTTGGTTTATCTACGCTATTTTATATTTGAATTAAGGGGTAATAAAATGCTTGCTAGTGATTTTTGATACTTTCAATGTTAACCTGTAAACATATAAATACTCTTTGTATTGTTAGTGGGCATTTTTATATTGTAATTAAGATGTATTTTTGTAACCACTACGAAAGTATAATTAACACTTAAGATCAAAAACATATGTCTGTTTTTCGAAAGTAAAACCTGTCATTTCAAAACTCCGATTAGTTTCAATCTTAGAGATATTTCAGCAATGCTTCATGTGTGATGATTATCTCATAGTAGAGGTTTTGTTTTCAGTATATTTTGGTTCATTGTATGTCGTTACATTCAGATACATAAAGTCTTACGATTCGGTCATTTCAAGACTGTGAAAATACTCGCTTCATGTCTTATTCTTGCGTATATGCTGATTGTTGTCTTCTATCATCTTCGAGAACTATATACAAATCTATCGTCGAACATGATACTGATATATTTTCCTGAAATAATTTTGTATTATTGGAGAACAAAACCATTAATGCCATTTTATGTGAACCAAACTGTGTTCAATAGTGTAATTCAAATAATGCATGCACCAGCTGTTGATATTTCTTGTCCTTTGGTCACTTTAAAAGAACCTATTAAACATGTCTTCGTCATTGTTCTAGAATCAATTCGTGCTGATGCTTTACCATTAAAACAACAATCTGGCCAATGCTGTAGAATCTACTTACACATCCGATACAATTGCTGAAAATGTGACACCACTTCTTAATTCACTTTGAACGAATTCTGTTCGTACAGTTACATCAGTCACATCATCGTATACATCAAAAAGTCTTGTCAGCATATTTTACGGTATCTATCCTCTCAATGTTAATTTTCTCAAAGAAGCAAATTCAGAGAATATCTTATATGAAAAATGTTTATCTGAATTACTTCGTGAAACTTTTCAAACGACGAATAATCAATCAGCCTTTCGTTTAGATTCTTTTACAACAGCTCGTGATAATTACGATCATCAGGATAATCTACTTAACAGGCTTAAATTTGATACTACAATTAATGTTTTCGATATTTATAAACAGATAGGAAATGTTCTCGATCTTGGTATGTTTGGTCCTGCTGATCCACATATCTTACCTCTAATATGGAAATGGATTGATAATAATTATTATCGGTACCAATTGAATTAGTTGATCCAGTCAGTCTTGATTATAAAATTACAGCTGCACATCCATCACGGGTCTATGTGATGCGTGACAAACAGTGGATGCGAACATCGAAAGGGCGTTGGATCAATGAATACTCGAATGTTACAATTCATCATAAACTTTTATTGAAAAATATTGGCTTGTTAAGAAATTTTTGTCGTTTTTTTTGCTAAATTTATTTTTATTTTTTCAATACAAAGAATACAACTAGCTTTTAGCGATATATGCTCCATCACTATCTATGACTTGTCGCCAACGCTCTGGTAGAGAAAGGATCCCACTTTCGTAAAAGTCCTGCGACTTTTGGTCAAAGAAGTCGAGAAGTCCCATTTCTAGATCGTATTCGTCGTCGAACTTTTTCTCCTTCAGATAGTTAGAAAGAGAACGGAACAAGTGGTAGTCTGTAGGAGCCAAGTCTGGAGAATAAGGTGGATGTGGAACCGTAATCCATCCAAGCTCCAGTAATTTTTCACGAGTTAATTTTGCAACATGAGGTCTGGCATTGTCATGCAAAAAATAAATTTTATCCTGTTTTCCCTGAAGTTTGGCTGCAACTCGGTCTAATTGCTGGCAATAGAAGTCAGCAGTGATAGTGCGATTAGGTGGAAGAAGTTCCCAGTGAATAATTCCTCTTACTCCCCACCAAACGCTCAGCATAATCTTCTTTTGGTTAGAGTCATGTTTGGGCGTTGCTACACCTTTTTGTCCAGCTGCCAGCCACTGCCGCTTACGTGTATGGTTAACATATAACACCCACTTTTCATCGCCAGTAATAAGATTATTAAGCCATCGGTAGTTGCCGTGAGATGTCATTAATTCCATACAAGCATCAACTCTGTGTTGGAGCTGATGCGGTGACAAATCATGTGGTATCCAAACTCCATATTTGCACGTTTTGCCTAATTCGTGCAGATGTGTTGCCACTGTAACATGAGAGCACCCAAGGTGCTCTGCTAAACAACGTGTAGTTAATCTAGGATCATCTTCGATAAGTTCCTTTAGGCGATCGATATCCACCTCGAGTGGTCTTCCAGTATGAGGTAAATCATCGAGTCCAAAGTTACCGTTGTTGAACTGATTGAACCAACGTTGCGTTGTACGAATGGAGAGTGCATTCGTTCCCATCGTATGGCATATGTTACTTGTTGCTTCTCCTGTTTTGTGACCCAGACGAAATTCGTGAAGCAAAAGAAGTCGAAGCTCTCTACGAGATATATGCAATTCTAGTTCGCTATCAGCGTGTTTATCCATAGTTTTATTGTGGTTCGAGAGATATTTACACCGCCTTTATATACCCTTAATATGGAAATTTCCAGAACTTTCTGAACTGTTCTGGGAAAATACGAAAAAAACGACAAAAATTTCTTAACAAGCCAATAAAAGCTTTCTGTCAAATTCAATGCCGGATACTATGAACAATGACAAAGTACAGTTGACAGATATGTTAGATTTGGCAGATCAGACTTTAGAATTGGCTCGTTTTTGGAAAAATATTGTTAAACAACGGTATCGTTACGAAAATAAAACATTCTATTATAATACGAATTAGGAAAATTATTGATTGAGAAATAATTTTTTTTATATGACCTTTATTTTGAAATTTAAATATAATAGTGTCGATAATTACAGTAGTAAACATCGTCTTCTTTTATAAAGCTTAAATAGAATTCATGCATGAAAAATTCTTTTCATTTACAAAGCAACGACTTTATCCTTATAATGTCAAACTTGGAGAAAAAATAGCATGATTAAGAAATAGATAGATATATAAACCATTGCGATCATCATGCAAAAAAATTTGTCATGCGACAAGAAATAATGACTTACCTTGAAGTTCAAGTCAATTATTTAGTTTCGGTCGGATTCTTTTCTATAAATGGTTGTCAATGATCAAGAACTAATATCAGGAAAAATTCAATGAAAAAAAGCATGTTAATTAGAGATATACATCGCCTGTGCGGAGATGGTCATGCCTTAATAATACCAGTTGTTAAATTCTATTGCAAGAAATTTTTAAAAAAAGAATGTACGTCAAATGCTGAAAAATTTAAAAAAAAATATTATAGAGCTACAAGTATGAGAAAAAATTGACGAAAAAAATTTTTTCAGTTACTGGTAGGCGATGGTCGCCGTCGTTCTGTGCATTGCACATATTTTTATATATAAAGCAAGAAGAAAAACAATATCTTCAATGAATGATGAACAAATAGCTTATATTATAATCAAGTTACAACCTATTTTAGGCTAACAGCATTAATGTTTTTTAATTGTTGAACAGAGAATTGTTACGATGCATTTCGATTCTGAAGAAGATTTCACATCAGATGAATTAGTATTTCTGTAATAGGACTGTGCTGCTCATCAGTAGAATGTGCAATTGTATCTTCAAAAGAGATCCAATGACCAAGAGATTGATTGTATTTTGCCACGATATGTTAAACAATTGAGTCGGATAACTACGACTTGTTTTAGACACCAAGTTTATTTTATTTTTGGTTGATAGATCTTACTAAACTTTTTCAATAATAATACAGACTTCTGTTGCATAGTTTACTTCAAGACAATAAAAAAAAAAACATTTTCATACAACATTGATAGATGTTACGGTATGTTTCTGTAATATTCCAGAAATTACATATCAAACATTGGATATCGCATTGAGTCATTTTAGAAACAAGTATGTTCAATTATATTTAAAGCTAAATAAGAAAAGTTGACTGCTATTCATCGAAATATATTTGCATTTTGCTCGTCGGTCATAATCTAAATACGAATTTGGCCTTATATTCTTTATCAAAATACGACACGATGATTACAGTAACAAACATTTGTGCCTGTAGGTGTGGGCACCGAGATGGATACAAAAACAGACTCACATCCCACATTCACACTTCTATGTGGTTCTTCGTTCATCGAATAAAAAAAACTCTCACTAGGTTCCCGATTTCTAGATGTAGGAGGCATCAATGATGATTTAGAATGTCGACAGGGGGAATCCTATGTTAACAACTCTAATTGAAATGTTTCTTGAAAAACAGATCAACATACCATTTAACCCAAGTTGTTTTCTCCGCTTGTGAATAAAAATGTTTATCTCGTTTATATGTTTCTATTTTTACAGCTGATCGTGACAATCATTATGAGATGTCTGATATAAACTATTCATGTGGAACTCTGTTCAGCATATGCATGAATTCACCATGAACAAAAAATTTGAAAAGCGTAAATGTTCTATCAATTATAAATTAAAAAGAAAAGACATCAAGCATGATTTTGCCATGTCATGTAAACAATTTTCTCATTTTTGAAATATTCATCTTACAGCAAAAACTATTAATGTTTTTTCAAAGTAAAAAAAAAGTGCCTTGTCTATTTAATTCTTTTTCTATGTGGATACGCTAAACACAACTCAATTTAACAGAAGAAAAAATAGTGAATGTTAGTATCTTCATTAAGTAATATAAAGTGAAATAAATTATTTACTTATTTTCATATTAAATAATGGAAACAAATATGAGTGAGACAATTCTCAATACGACAAGCATTTTGTCTACGATAGAAACATCGAACGATCGAACGTACATACAAAAACTTACTTTTGGAATTTTACAAACATGCCAAATATTATCTTTTATTGCTTATCTAATT